CTAGACATAGTAAGTTTTTCACAATCTTCTTATAAGCTTTTTCTTCATTGTGGTTTCTCATATAAGAATGAAGTCTCTCCTCAAATATATCCATTATAAATTAGCATGATACTGTGTAACCTTAGACGTGTAGGGGTATGACCATTTGTAAATACAAACAATCTGTAGACTACTTTTTTGTTCGATTTCGACGGAATCGTAGGCTGTCCAGGAGCTTAACTGTACTCCACACATGAAACAGGTGACTTTATCGCTATGTCCTGAATAAAAAAAAATCGTTATGACTTAGTTCGTTTGGAGTCTGTCGTACTTGTTTGGGCCAGTCCTTAAACGTTTGTAATCGATCCTCACATTGAATCATGAACTGGTATGCTGGTCGAATGTGGTATGAAGTATGACGGATACAGTCTGTTGTAATATCTGACATGTTAGTGTATCAAATCACTAACACACTGTAAACTTTCCGATAGAAACAGTGTCTTTTTAAAATAGTCTCCTGTTATTTGCATACTCTCTTCTCGTCTTCTTTTAAACAGATCTTCAGCTCACCTTTGACTTTTTTCACAATGACTTCTTGTGTAATTCCAAGACGACAGTCTACCTTACTCTGTGATATGCTTGTCAGAGTATGTCTTCCTTGATTATACGGTTGATAATCTCTTGTGCCATTTGTGGAGACTCTAAATGTTTACCTGATATATACATAAGGTTGCATCACTGCTATTTCAACTCACTGTGTATAGAAGTGTGACATAATCCCTCCACACATTCTTTCTTCCTTGGCTGTGTATAGAAAGCTACCCTCTACATATGTATAAGGTTATTTTTAAATCTATGTTACCGTCACCGTGGACATGTTCGGTCTTGCATAATCCCCTCCACACTTACGGTGATGTGTATTGCATTATCGCCTATTTACCTCCACATATTAATCCCTCCATACATTCTTTCTTCATTGACTTTGTATAGAAGGCTACCCTCTACATAATGATGTATAAGGTTATTTTTAAATCTATGTCGCTCTCACCGTGGACATGTTCGGTCTTGCATAACGCCCTCCACACTTACGGTGATGTGTATTGCATTATCGCCTATTTACCTCCACATATTAATCCCTCCACACATTCTTTCCTATTGTGTTGCATATTAACCCCTCCACACATTCCATGGGTTTCCGTCTCCTATTGCGTCATACACGCATATCTAGGTCAAAGGTCTGTTTTACCGGCTGGGGCTCCACACATTCCATGGGTTTTCCCTCCCCTATTGCGTCATACATGCATATCTAGGTCAAAAGGTCACCCTCCACACCCTCCACAAAATGTGTGGAGGCCTAGCCGGTAAAATACCACTACTGGAAGCAGCCCATCCAGGGTACTACTACATCATTCCTTCAAAAGATCTGTCTAGCGAGGACGTTACAAAACTTACAGTGCCACAGGTACAGACTATTGGGTTATCGAGTGAAACGTTGAAGAAGCAATTAGAAGAATACATCAAGCACAGCAAGAAAGGGGAAGTCAATCTTATATTTATGGAAACACCGACTCTAAATGGACCATCGGTTACCTTCGAGTCTCGTATGAACAGAGGAGTAATGGTTTTAATTGACTGCGTCTTCGGTGTAAAATGCTCAACATGGCCAAACAAACTGGACAACTTCTTCACTTGGGAAAGACATTGTGAATGGCCATGCGTCACATTACTGGGAGAAATTAGAGAACAGGGGTGTCATCTGGTAGCTACCGTGTCACACGACAGCTGCTTACGCCCCTTCGAGTGGAGATTATCGTCAACAAGGGCAGAGAAAATGTTAGCCTGGTCTTTATCAGAAAAACAACGCCTTGCATATCAGATTGCAAAGTCGTTGATCAAATCACACGACAAGGCGAAATGTATCGCATCCTGTTTCGTTAAGACGGCTCGTTTCTGGCTTTGTGAAGAACGTCAGCAAAGCGTCTGGACGGCATCATCAAATCTTGAGAATATAAAATGCATATTGGAAAAACACTTCATTTCTTTGCCAACAAAAAGGTTCCAAACTATTTTGTAGAAGAAAACAATCTTGTCGACCACTTTGAAGACGAGATATTCGTGCATGCTATTGAGGGTCTTATGGAGCTGAATGGAATGTTACTACCCAGACTTGCAAAACTTTTACAACGCGTATCAGTTATGCCAGTGGAGTTTCAACAAACCCCAGCAGAAATGATTGCATCGAAAAGTTCAAAAGCGTTACTTGAGTATTTGTGTGTTAACTTTTGTTTTGGAAGTATAGCTCACACAATTTTATCTCAGATAGAAAACAAAACGCATGTCAACTATCTGTACTTAGCTGAAGCTATGTTCAAACATCTGACAAGTTCATCGCACGTCGAACAAATTAACACAGCTGTGAAACACGCAACAAATGGGCGTTTATCGTGCCAAGAGGTAAACAAGGACAAGGGGTGGTCTCTGTCAAGGTTAGGCTTACATTCTGCATGTAGCTTTCTAGAAAATATAATCCAATACTTCCAGTCAAAGGAATCCGACATGGAAATAATTTGGAAACTTTGTGTAGAACTGGCAAATATTGCAGCTACCCTTTGGAATGGTTATTGTCAGCCACAAAATGCAGGAGCAACTGTTGTAAATGACTGTATTTATTTGCTAGACAGAAGCGCCTGCATCATGAGTATGCCTTCACATACACACAGAAATATTGGAAACGGTATCCTCGATATCGTATAGAACCAACAAATAATCCAAACAAACTATGATTTTATTTCTTGGAAATGTGGATAATATTGCTTATCAAATATCAACGAGAGTGTAGCTACCAATTTGGGATCATAGGTCGAGGGAACAAAGACAACATGCGACTTCCAATCTGTGTTCGACGACTGGTGGATTTCATGCTTTTCTATGACAATGATAAAACAAAGGTTCTTTTGCAGATCGATTCAGCCTTGTTTGGTGGGAAACCAATTGCGAACTCCCTGAAGATAAAAAGTGTTCAGCATTCGTCTACAAACTTGAAAATGGACGGGTTAATTAACTTAACAAAACTGAAAATCCGCGCGAAAGCATACAGGACGGACGTAGAAAAGGACCAGCTGCAGGTGGAACTTGGCAAACTGTGTTGCATTAAAGGAAAACAGTGCAACTCCTCAGAGGATCAATATAAATGGCACAGCCGGTCTCAAGAATATTTCAGAGATGATCTCAGTTCTTGTCCCTCGGACATATCAGTGAAAGTTGATTTTGCGGCTTTTTTGTTTACTACCAACCGTAATAATGAAAGCATTGGCCTTCTTCAAGACGTCTTCACATGTGCAGGGGAAGAAACCGCCATGAATACGTACATTATCAACACATACTGTACCCTCCTTGAAGAGTTACAACAACTCGTAGGCAACACATTTCCAATAGTAATACCATCACTTTTGATCGGGTGCTACTACATTCTTGCAACTTACAAGACTATAAAGATGTCACGAGACCAGTCTCTATTTGGCAAAATAGTGGCTTGTCTAAAGGATGCATTTTCCTCAAGTGACGAGGATACTCGGAAGTTGGGGCAGCACATAAGTACAGCTTTCTTATCTCACTAAACTCTATATCTGTATGTTCGTTTACATATAACAGCAAATATGACGCTCCCGAACTGACCTTACTAAAAGGCATCTTTCCGTTTAATTTTGACTATCATAAGCAGATCCGATATGCGTTTCTTATTTAAAATGCATGTATCTCTTTTATAAACAAAGAAAAACAATAAGAGACAAAATTCGTATTTAGATGCTGAAATTATGGTCTAAATCATTCACTGAAACTGTGCTGCAGAGTCAACATTGACTATGCAAAGGCTTTCCTCTGAACTCTGAACACCAGTGAATAGTACTTTAACTGTTTTTTAGAATAAAGGTTAAGCTAAATATAAAAATTGTCGAACCTATACTGGAACTTGACTACTTCTGAAGTGATTACGGAGAATGTATTTGTACAAATGATTAAATGACCCAAAGTTGCACGTCTATACTTTAACAGTGTCCAGTAGATGGTAGGTAGCTCGTTCTTAGCCCCTTCCAAGTCAATAACATGCCTGGCGTTTTGCATGTCAGAGAAAGCAGAGTTCCCTGTATTCTGTCCTACCTGCATTCCAAGTCATTGGCTGCGAGGGCACTTTGCGACACATAGACTCCACACATCTGTACAGGCTATTATGTAAATCTTTTGAAATTTCCCCTGAGGTTTTGTCTTTGAGTACTTCAAGTTTAGAAAATTAGATCTGAGGCAGTTCTGTGCCTTTAAAGTACTGCCTACCCCAGTGGTTGTAAATCCTCATTAGACCTTAAGAAATGCCTGTACGTAACGAAAGGTTATAATGGAGCCTTGACTGGTCATCTAATACACCTCCGAGACTGGTAATTGGTCGGATTGTGTTGAAATGTTTCAATGTCTGAAAGGCCCAATCCTCGTGGTCTTAGATCATAAGAGATTGATGTATTCACTGATGTTCTAGATCCTTCATTGTGATGGTATGGCTCTGTGTAGTAGCGCTCTTACGGTACTTTGCTTGTGTTGCAGCCGATGATGGTAGTCGAATAGGTACTATTCTGTCATCTTGATCCGCAGATGAATGTTCTTCTTTTAACAAATATTAAAATTATGACACAGACATAAATATGCGAGGCTGTAGTCTATTTATATGGGTATTTTGGAATATATAATTTGTTCACAGAACATAACCAAAAACGTAAGCAATAACAATTAATAAACATATATAACAATTTCAATATATCTTTATCATAACAACCTTTACCTGAATATATTTTTGAATATAAATATTTTAACACAAGTTCACAGTTGATATAATAGATAATGTTAATTTACGAATTCATTTTCATCAGGATACATTCCATTATTTGTGGGATGCGTACACGTTTGAGTTATGCATTCTTAATATCTCAGTTCTACATTTAACATCTAAATTTAAATAATACAGGTAAGACAATTTTTAACATTTTTTTTGAGAAAAAATCGAATAGACGAATCCTCATATGGTTTAATATAATATATATTTGTTTCATTTGCTGTTGAAATATTTCATATGTTGATCCGGATCGACTTGGTTCACTATAAGGCCTTCGCCATTATTGTCGGTGTCGTTTAAAAGCTTGAAGAGTGCTTCTCTCATCACATCGGTACTGAAAGACAAAATAAAAAAAGTTACAATAAGTTTACTGTGTCTTCCCCTTTTAATTTAAAATGTTATTAATTACAAATACCAGACCGTAAATTCGTGGGATATACATGAGCATATCACTGATAATACAAAGGAGTCTCGATAAAGTGGCTGAAGTAGGAGATGACTGGACCCTTGGTACAATATGGCTAAAGAAAATATGGACATGTTCTTTTAAACGCCCAATGTATAAAGGATTAACAGAGTTACGGATAGTTGTGACCGAGGTTAGGAATATTGACTTTGCAGTGAGCAAAAATGTGAATCAACAATCCTATTTCATTTTACCGAGGAATGATTAGTGGTTACTGAAGTTATGAATCCCATTTTTTTAATTTTGATGCTATAATTAAATGCACGCCAATATATGTAAACATAAAAAAACATTGTATCTTTCTTTGTTTTTATCTATAAAGATTTTTTTTCTCAGTTAAATGTGGTTACAAACAATATGTGGAAATGAAATGGTGGTTGTCCCTACCTCATCAGGCTCGTATCACCGAAGAACTTTTTCCTCATCTGCTGTATGTTATCAGTGATCATTTCGGTATCTATGGCTCCGGGACAGAGACAGGTAAACTTCACTCCGTTTTCTTTCATCTCCGGCATTTCCTTTGGGTAGGTATACGTAAGAATTTAAATAAAACCACAACAAAATGATAACAAATTATGATAGAACTGTGACAGGACCTACTGCTTCTATCGGGGATCGAACTAGCGACTCTACTTGCCCAGCCCGCTGATCTACCGACTGTAGGAATGGGAAATTTACTCTAGCTTGAAGCTTGAAGGCGACTTTGACTGTCAAGCTAACCCAAAACCTGTTAATGTTTTCTCCTCGAACACCACTAAACAAAGTTTAAACATTTTATTTCATAATATTTTATGGCGTAAACAATAGGATTGACAGCAAGCTAGGCCTATATAAGTGCCTCTCCTTAGGCTGCCATGACAAAGACAAAGATGAAACTGTTAGTAAGAAAATATTGATACAAATTATATATTACAAGTAGCATAACTCCCCAGTCTGTATATAGCAGTAGGCATAGGGGAGATAAATCCATGTATGTTTCAATTATATATAATTATTTAATTGACATTTTGAGCTATAAAATGGTCTTATTAAAAAGGTCAATCAGAATTAATTAGTAATAGGCAAGCAATGCCCTAATGATATAACATAAAGAGAAATTGCTACAATTTTATTTTTATTTTTATGCCAGTCATTAATGCCCCCTGTTCATACCCTGCTGCTGTTACACAAAGTAGTCAAAAGAACCATTTAGTATCAATATATAGCATTGGTAGGAGTGATAAAAAAGCAAAGGATACAGCAACAACAAAATATAAAAATAAAATGAGGCAATTCAGCTAGAAGATTTTGAAATACATGTAGTATGTGTAAGATGTATTGCCAGTGTTCTATGTGTAAATCTTTCATTCCATCGAGTTTCAGACAAAAAGTCTCTAACGGCCTCTACCGTTCCCATATCAACCACTCTAGAAGAATCCAGATTTAAACACGGAACACTCAAAGTTAGCACATTTTTTTTTACTTTATTGCACCCATCAGTAAAAACAGGAACCAAAGCTTAATCCTTTAGGTGTATAGTATAAACATCAATGTATATATAACAATCAGATGAATCACATAATGCCTTTCTGCTTTCACAATTTGTAAATACATCAGAGATATCATTATTGAGCCATATTTCATTATATTTAGTAGGGGAATGTAGATCTGCCGCGAAAATTAAGCAGTATATATAACGTTATTAATGTCTCAATCAAAAGCATGTTTCTTTTACACTAAGTCGTAAGTAAGTATTAAATACACTGCCGGTTTAATCTTAACAATCGTATCAAGCATGTCGTATAGAAACAATTCGGCAATCTCGGTTGAAACAATTATGTTTTAATATTTCAAATAGTAAACAAATGTGTTACACAGGTTTGATACTATACCATGATCGAAGTTTTGAATTTGATTCCTGTTAACGTTAGTACTTACCGCAAAAGATTTCGTCAGGCCAAACACTCCATATTTACTGGCAGAATAAACTGGCAGTATCGAAGACGGTTGGACACCTTTACAAAGGAAAAAGATATTTCAATAATTTTATGTATCAACGACGTAAGTTGTTGTCTGACCTTTCATGCTTGTATAGAATTCAGTGTCATAAAATTACAACAGTATACCAGCTAGAACTAACGCAAAGTCCACATAGAATGTATCTAGCCTGTTCAAATCCAATTCGCAAGAACGTTGTAATATTCAAAAAAATTAAATGGATACTTTGTTCTTTTCAATTTAAATCATTGAAACATTGAAGAAACAAGATAAAACGTTATTTATTCCAGTAAAAATACAAACAGTATTGTAAAAAATATTTCTATATCATAAGTTCCTTTTATTCAATAGAAAGACGCTTTGGCGTTCTTCAGATTCACTTCATCGTACAATACCAACAAGTGTCATTCTCTCAATGGCTAGCAAATACAGCTCGAGTTTTGACCATGATGAAAAGATTATAATTAAAGAGAACATTAAATGTGTACGAAAAATCCGGTTAAAATTGTTTCTAAGAGTGAAAAATTGTGTCCTATTGAGATAGAGAATCCCCGCACTCTGCCAGAAATGGTTACTATGTGTTGGAAACTTCTGTTTCCTGTATGACTATAGTGTTTTGATCTCATACAGACAAAACAGAAACAAAAACAGAAAACTAGTCCTTGTGGAACTTATCAAGATGAAATATATTAGTAAAAAAAAATCAAAAACAGTTTTCTGAGTGTAAAAACGCAATGGGACCACCCCGGCTTTAAACCCTTTGATACCGATCCTTCCGATAAAAACCAAATTAAGGGGCGGTTACCTTGTTTACAAAAAACTAGATTTTAGGCAGATTCGACTGTTAAACATTAACAATTAATACTTGAAGAAGGTTAAACACTGTTAAAACCAACAAATCAACAAAAAGAATTCCTGGAAAGTTATGTATCGCTTATATCTCACCTAATAAGGAGCACATGTTGACCACTATACCACCATGGCCACCTCGGTCCTTCCTTAACGCCTCCGCAGCAAGTTGTGTTCCAAGTATAGATCCTTTCTGTTGACCATTTCAAATTAGATGAACAAATGAATAGTAGCTACTATGTTATAATTACGTATTGTTGAGCAAACAAAAACATTTACTCATGTTTACAATATTTCTGTTTACAAGTTTTGGATGATATCAGAAGTACATTTCTAGATGTCTATGATTCTGTGAATAAGGACCAAATTTGATTTCTGAATCTGGAATATAAGAATGCACATACTGTATAGTAGAATTCGAATCTAATACAAAACCATGATAATAAAACGTTTTATCGCTGGCTCTGCTAAATGCTCAACCAATCTATTATCCAAACTTCTAACTGCCAATCTTAGTACCATAATTATGTTCAGGGTCACAGTCATTATGTGACATCGTATGCTCGGCATCTTGCACTTATAAATACTCATGATGGTGAGGCAGCAAACGATTTATAGAAAGGTAAAAAAACAGAGAGCATATTAAGGCAAAATAGATATGATTAAACTGTTTTATATTGTATACCGGGAAACATTCGCCCAGTCAAATATTGGCCCTTCACTGGTAAAATCTGTATTCGCCTAGTGCTAATGTCCCCCTTCGCATGTACTAACTATAAAGGCTAAATTGTGTGCAAACATTCACTGTTAGGATAAATTCGCCCTTATTGCGGAAAGGGCGAAAATTAAATTGGAGCCTTAATCTTCCGGTTTACAGTATTTTCATGTTTCTGTGAAAACTGCTTATGATAGAAATAATTTCCAGAATATCCATATCCATATGTATTAAGTTATATTCTTAATTAAATACGGGTAAAAGAGTCAACGTTAAATCGATTTTACCAAGTTTACGTCAACGACTTTCCCCCAGTTTTCCTCATCTGCTACTCCAGCATTGTTTATGACGATGTCGACCCTTTTGAATTTGTTCTTGGTTACCTGAAACACATCTGAATATGTATATTAAAATTAGTTAAATTTAATCCCATTTCATTTTTCAAGTAAAGCATCTGTATAAGAAATGATATTTTTTTGGTGGGGTTATCATTATTTATTAATTACCGGTAGGTGTTTAGTATTGATAATTGATATGATGTGCAGTAAAAACTGATTAATGATAAGGTATTCAAACTTAATTGATTATCCGTATGATGTTTACCCTTAGTCATTATACGATTAATTCCACGCCCGAACATTCACCTCTAGTTATATAGACTGCCTAATAATGCCATGATAGTGTCATTACATACAGCATACAGCTACCGAGCTCAACAATGATTTAATCTTACACTCAACCGCTTGCGACAAACTTAAGCTTTCATGGCCTTAGATCTGCATGTAGACACATGACATAGATAAATTGCTATCATGTAATGCAGGGTGACAATACAGGACAGTGCAGTATCTGAGCTGAAGGAGGTTCTGAACAAATATGAAAAGATATGTACTCATACTTCAGTTATTCACTAAGACCAACTATGGCAAAGACTCAACCACGTTTATCAGATGATGATCGAGGTGAAACCGAACTAGGCCTAAATGAATTCCGGGATTCATTCTGGCAAGATAATATCTGAACATAAACAAAACTTTGTTTATTTGGGGAAATACATTGTATTTTTTTCGCATTAAGCCTATAAGCTAGCAAACAATTCATTTCGAAACGGAAATGGGTATTGCGCAGACTCTGTTAGTTGTTGCTAACGAAAACTGTATCTCCATCAAAATGAGTTCCGACGTTAGTTGCGTTTGCGTCAACGTCTATGTTACGACTTTTAGTGATACTGGGTACAGTAGTGTAAGTTTGCTATTATACATGTAGAAAATGCTGAACGTAACATAGAGTAATTGTTTTTTGAGTTCATTAGCATGATATTGCAGATGAAATAAAGATAATATTTGAGTTAGAGCTACCCGCTGCACACGTAATACGTAGCGCAGACACTTGATTTGTTATTATAGATTAGCAAGGTAACTCAATGCCTTTCTAGAGATGAACGTATGCAGTGTTTAGAGACTTGGTATAAAAATTCCTTCTCTTCTTTTTGTTCATTTAAAAAAGACATTTTCTATCATTGACACTTCGTCCTAAAGTGATAGGTATTTGTTTTAATAAAAGAAGTACCTTGCAGCTGGAAATCATCCTCAATCATCAAATGCAAGACTTCAATAAGTATATTATGAGACAGGCGACTATCTAAAAGGCCAAGACAAAAACAACGGTAACTTACTTTTAAATTGTTCTTCATTCCTTACATCGCATACAGCAAATATCACATTTTGTTCACCGTAAGTTGTTGCCAAACTCTGTCCGGTTGAAGTTACCAGTTCTTCATTTATATCTGATATGCAAACCTAAAACAAAACAAAAATACATATATATATATATGTAACTAGATAAAAGTTTATATATAGAAAGCTTTTCCAACACATCACTTATCACTTACACATAAAAAAAAATTAAAAAAATGGTGACCTTTGACCCAACTGCGAGGATTTTTATTTGACATTTTTTGTATTAATATGTAATGAGTCATTTTAAGATTTCGATCTATGACCTCATGGCGGTCATTGGATTTTGACCTACTTGAAAATGTTGCAATGACACCTTTTGACCTTCGCCTACAATATACTTGAAAGACTGTAAACACATCTGCTACCAATCAAAAGATTAGGTGGCCACAAAATCATGGCAGAAGGAGAAGAAAGGGAAACATAACAAAAACAATAGGTATTTTCTCCATTAGTGAAAGCCCTAATAAGAAACATAACAAAAACAATAGGTCTTTTCTCCATCAGTGAAAGCCCGAAGAAGAAACACAACAAAACAATAGGTCTTTTCTCCATTAGTGAAAGCCGTAATTAGACTTTAAAATAATTTTATATTAAGTGACAAAACTTTTCCTGGCAATTACTTCAAAATGCATTGTACACAAAATACATATCATAGTAGGCAAGAAATGGCATAAGAGTTATGACTGTTAGGCTAATAAACCGCAGATTAAGTGTGTACACTTACAAGTTTTATACTAGTTAGGTCGATTACTGAAATACCACATAACAAGATATGTACCGTAACATTAACATCTGATTGCTTCATAATGTGGTTATTTTTGTTCGGGACACGGAACTTTAATGTACAGAGACGTTTTTTTTTGTTTTGTTTTTGTTTTTTGTAGGTTCAAATTGTTTTATTCCCCCAGCATCTTTGGGAGGGATGCCAGGGTTAGGGTGCCCTGGAATCATCCCTCTTACATAATATAGCCTCATGCAAGAGGCCTCTTTCTCTTCATTCTCTCTTTCTTTTTCATTCATTCTTTCATACTCAAATTCGAAATCATTCATTCTTTCATACGTATATTTCATTCATTACAATAACGATAATATTAATTTTGATTAAATTGATATATTAAATTACATCAACCATTCCTTCTTTATATATTCAAATATTGAACGTATTTTTATATTTATAAATTCATTTACATGCCAAAAATTCTGTTTTATTGATTTGGGATTGCCATATTGTCCGAAAATTTAAACAAGATAAAACCGAATTCATGTACTTTGAATGATGTTGTTTTTCATGTGTAATTTGGATAAGTTTAAGTAGGAATGTCTGGGGAAATAAAAAAAGAGTACAAATACTAATGTACCTAGCAATTTAGACCTATATACATAAACACAAAAACATAAACAGTGTACAATTATGTGAAATTTAACTACAAATTGTGTATTCATAAACCCATCATACACACACTCGAAATGACAAATATATTACTTGAGTCATACATATATACCACACATAATTGTACACACATACACTCGTACCCATACACACACATCCTCGCATGCCTGACAGCATATAGATATTGCAAACATTCTTTATATTAAGACATTAATATATGGATACATCCATCCTTTCTATTACAATAAATAATTATATATTTACCATGCCATTTGGGTCTACACATACACATAAACCAATAAACATACTTATCAACATAACACATACACAAGACAGATATAATACATACATGTACGCCTGTTATTTACTTAAATACCAAAAATCTTCCTTCATGCTTTAATTAATTCTTTACGGGTTGTAAGTTTACCCGGATATGCAATTGATATTAAAAGCTTTTTTCTTAGATATTAAGGGGAGACCACTTTTGGTTAAACTTGTTCATTGTGTTATTCAAAGAAGACATCTTTTTTTCAATCTGTTGTTGTTGAATAATGCGTCTTTTTCCACCATTGAAAGACGGTTCAATATTTTTGAATCGACATGTATAGATATAATATTTAATAATCAGTATGAGATAGTTTATGATAGGTGGACCCTTTTCACAAAAAAATAACACATCCTTGATATTCATATGATCAATAATGATAATATTGTTATTCAAGTCATTCACCCAAGCTATTAAATCATTCCATATATTATTTATTTTCACACAGTTAAAAAATAAGTGTTCAATTGATTCTGGTGCATCTCTACAAAAAGTACATAGATCCTCATCCTTAACATTAATTTGGTAAAGAAAACTGTTTGTTGTTAATATTCTATGAAGAATCTTAAATTGTAGATTTTGAAGTTTTGTGTCAATTGTCACCAGAAAGCTTGTTAAATAAATTTTCTCCCAACCTATATCATCATTTAAATTTGTATTTAACTTTCTATTCCATTTTTCCTGCCTTTCAACTGGATAATGTTTGTAGTTAGCAACAATCGCTTTATAAACATATCTAAGATCTTTTGCTTGAAGAAGTCTTCTTAAAAGATTACTGTTTTCTGATTGATTGTTGATCAATGGTTGTTGTCGTATTATGTTTAAGTTTTCCCTTGGAATGTGGTCTATTACTGCAAAATATTGTAAAAAAATCATTTTCTCACATTTAGTCTTAATATCATTGAATGACAAAAACTGATAATTATTGTCCAACAAGTCCTTAACTGTCTTCACCCCATTCCGTTCATATTCAATAAATTGTTTGTAACTAGGAACTGGTATGTAATTCAAAAGATCATCACCAAGAAAACTTGATACTTCATTATTATCATCTTTATATTCTTTCCATGCTAAAATAACATCTTTCCAGAAAACATTAGTTACATTTTTCGATATTTCCTCCAGTTTTGATTTTTTCAGATTCCATAATCTCTCCCCTCCAAATTTACTAAAATTAGATTTTGCTAAACTTTGCCAGTCCCCATTTCCATCATATAGCCTTTTCACCCACTTAATTTTCAGGTATTTCATAAAACTTTCAATGTGTATCATCTTTAAACCTCCTTCTCCATATTCAAGAATCATTGTATCCCGTTTGATTTTGTCAGGTTTGTACCCCCATATAAATCTATAAAAAACTGTGTTAATTTCGCTTATCCATTTTTTACCTGGATTTGGCAGTGAATACAGTAGATGTGTTATAAGTGGTAGTGCCAGTGTTTTAACAACTGTGATCTTTCCTAAAAGAGTAAGATTTCTTTTAGACCACATTCCAAGCAATTTTCTTATTTTTGATAGCTTTTCTTTAAAATTCAATTCAATGATTTCAGATAACTCCAAAGAAAAATTAATTCCAAGAAGTTTGAAGTTTTTTGAAGACCAATCAAATTTATGTTCAGGGCATAAAATCTCTTCTGAGTATTTCTTGTTTCCGATCCATATCAATCGACACTTATCTATGTTAAGTTTAAGTCCAGATACTGTAGAAAATATACTGAAGTCATTTATAGTACTTGACAATGACTTTGAAGAACCATCTAGGAATAAAAAGGCATCATCTGCATATTGACCAAGCAAATATTCTCTATTATTTATTTGTACACCTTTGATACTTTGATTTTTTTTCAATTGTATAGCCAAAATTTCAACACCTATCAGGAATAGATATGGGGAGATGGGATCCCCTTGTCTACATCCACGTTTTACATCCAAAAATGATGAAAAATACCCATTATTAATTATTCTGCTTTTTGCATTATGATAGAAAATATGTATCCATTTAATCAAAGATTCACCAAAATTGAAAGATTTTAAAGACCTATGAATAAAACTCCATTCTATCGAGTCAAAGGCTTTTTCAAAATCAACAAGTAGCAACAAACCAGACATATTTTTTTCTTCTAATTCATGCATTATATCATATACTAATTTTGTATTTTCTCCAATAAATCTATTCCTCATAAAGCCTTTCTGTGTATCATTTATAATTGAAGGCAGTACTGTTTTAAACCGGTTTGCTATAGCAGAAGAAGCAATTTTATAGTCAGTATTAAGTAAAGTTAAAGGTCTCCAGTTTTTTATAAATCTTCTGTCTTTGGATTCTTTTGGAATACATGTTATAATTCCCTGGTTTTGAAATTCTGATAATGAGCCATGAGTATATGCATAATTTATAGATTTATATACAAAATATTTCAAATCTTTCCAAATATTTTTGTAAAACTCACTGGTAAACCCATCCGATCCCGGACTTTTTCCATTTTTCATATTAGCTAGTGCTTTACTACATTCACCAATTGTAATTAGACCTTCACAACTTTCCTTTTCTACCTGTTGTAAATATTTCCCATGATTAAATAGAGGTGAATCATTATTGCATGCCATTTTACTTGTATAAAGATTTCTAAAAAACTGCTTTTCTTCTTCAAGTATTTCTGTTGTATCTGTAATATGTTTTCCATTTTCATTTATCAATTCAGTTATAGTTTTATTCAAATAGTTTTGTTTTTCAAGATTACAAAAAAAAATCTGAACCTTTTTCCCCTTTCTCATACCATGTAACCTTTGATCTAATAATGATTCCTTCAGTCTTTTCCTTCCTTATATCTGATAAAGCCCTGTTTTCCTTTTCTAATGCTTCGTATAACTGATTAGTAGGTTGACTGTTCATTAATTTCTCAATGTTTTGTATTTTTTCAGAGATCATCCTTTCTTTCTTTTTCTTTTCTTTTGAAATTTGAATTGAGTATTCTATTGTTAGACTTCTAATCTTCATTTTGATTATTTCAAACATCATTTGGTCATTTACCCTTAAATTTATGTTCTCTAATGCATCTAAATCCCCCTCTATCAGGTACTCTTCTATTGTGTCCCTAATGCATTGGTTTGCTAAATCTACCCAATTCTGATCATTTAATAATTTTGAGTTAATTTCCAATACTCCTTTTCTCTGATATTTTCTTTATTAATGCAAGCTAGTGATATATAGGAATGGTCAGTCTTATAACCGGGTGTGATACTAGAGTTTTTAACAATGTTAAGTAAATCTTGTGAAACTAAGAAGTAATCTAACCGACTTTTGTTTAATTGGGTTTTTCCTTCGCCATGTGTACATTTTTTTCGCAG